CGGCCGCGCTCTGGAAACCGCAGCTGCCCTGGGGGAAGGTGCCCGGCGGAGGCACCGCCTCCCTCCTCAGCAGGTACAGTCTGCGCCGTGCCTTCTCGCAGGAGAGCTGAAAAGGAGGTCTCTGTCACCATCCCTGGCTGAGAAGCTTCTTGGGCTCCTTTTTGCTGTCCCCAGCGGGTGTGAGTCTTAGCCCGAAGCCTCCCGCCTCTGTTGAGCGTCACGCTTGAAGCAGGGTGTAGAACAGAACATACTTTTGCAGGCACAGGCTTTACAAATGGCCTTGTTTTTATCGCACCGTTTCTCTTGCTGGTGTTTAATATTCTAAAGGTAATTTCTCAATGTCAGTACCAGCTGAATGTTTGCTCTTGAGTGTTTAACCCTTTTCAGTAGATGAAGAAAGCTATTCTGTGTGGAAACCCAAACAACATGTGATAGGGTGAGAGGAAATGGGCTTAAATTGTGCCAGGGGAGGTTTAGATTGGATATTAGGAAGAAATTTTTGCCAGAAGGAGTGGTGAGGCACTGGAACAGGTTGCCCAGGGAGTTGGTGGAGTCCCCATCCCTGGAGGGGTTCAACAAAGATGTAGGTGTGGCACTTCAGGACATGGTTTAATGATCATAGTAGTGTTGGGGTGATGGTTGGACTTGATGATCTTAGAGGGCTTTTACAACCTTAAAATTCTATGATTCCATGAATAATAATTTGAGATGAATTTTGGCTGGAGCTCAGCGTGCGATCAGTGTTTGTGCACGCACACTTGTGGTGTGCTGTAAGGCTAGGTGAGCTCCTCTTAACTTTCAGACAAGCTACAGCAGCTTCTGATCCCTTTTTACATGAAAAAGCCAGTGATTACTTCTAGAAAAAGATGTTTCACTCCTGTTTATTTTTTTTCTCCCCCTTTTGGGTGTGGGTTTTAGTGTCACACCTCTACTTCCAAGCATACTTCAGCAGCCTGCGAGGGCTCTGACTTACTGGAGCTTACAGAAGGGGAAGAGGAAAACTGTGAAGGCTGTTGTTGAGAGGTTCCTCCGGCTGCACAATGGGCTTTGGGTCAGGAGAAAGGTAATAAGACATTTTTGGCAGTATAACCACACTCTTTACAGTCAAGGGGCTAATTGTTTTCCTTCTGTTAGAGGGCAGTGGCTACCATGGGGGTTAAAGCTCTGTAGAGACTCCAGTTCTCCTGAAAGTGGGAAATATTTTTGCTGTAGCAACCCACTTAAAAGCCCTCTGTATTTTCTCCTGACAGGCTGGTTATAAGAAGAAGCTGTGGAAGAAGTCAGCTTCCCAGAGGAAGCGTTTGAGAGAGCTGGTGCTCTGCAACAGGACGCAGTGTAAGCTCCTTGATAAAATGACCACTTCTTTCTGGAAGAGAAGGAACTGGTATGTTGATGATCCCTACCAGAAGTACCACGACCGCACAAATCTTCGTGTGTAAAAATCTTGGCTCCATTTTTGCATCTCTCTAGGAAAGAAGTGGGGGTACATATGGTATGGTCTTGATTTTACACAAAGATGTAATGCCTGTAACCTTTCCAAATAAACCTATGCACATCATCTGATCAGAATCATGGCTATCAATGCCCAAAATAAAGGGATACTCCAGATTATTTTGAGTTGCAATTTGTATTTTGTTGAGTAAAGGTCAAGCTGGTCACCTACATGTTCTGGTGTCTTGGCTTCCTGCAACTGTGTGTAACAGTCTAAACGTCACTAAAAGTGAAAAATTCCACATATTTAATCTTAAAATTTTTTAAAGGGCAGGCTTTAAACAGCCCCAGGATATATTTTGCAGAAAGGGAGGTGGAGTCCACTTCAGTGTTGTTGCCTGTCATGGTACCAAATAAACTGTGGCCACGTCTCCATACTAGAGAGAACATTAAAAAAAACACACCACCACATCACCAGTATTTCCTAGCTACACACAGGTTTTATAACTGATCTTAAAAGGTGTTAGCCACCCAGTTTCATTACAGGGTTCACACTCTGTGTCCTGTGTTGGCTTTGAGCAGTAGAATATATTCTTTGGGTCCCACACTACATTCTCAAGAAGTAAGTCTTGAGTATTTTCTTGTTTATTCTTTTTTTAAGCCTGATTGTACCTCACACTGCAGATCTCCAACCACATGAATCCATGGAACAAACCCAAGGGTTTGTTAGAGGGTCCTTTTCCATGTTACAGTCCAACTAGTCTCTGATTTTGCTACGGGCTAGACTGGAGATGCTCTCCAAAGAGCTGATACTCCAGCAAGTCTGTGAAAAGCAGTAGCTTCAACAGGCTCATTAATAATTAACCCATTATTGAGCAGACAGTCCCTGGCAGTCAGCTCCAGAGCCAGGTGGGTAGCAAGAGAAGGTCTGCTGCACGAGGCTGTAGTGTTTCAATGAATCCACCAGGAACTCGGAGTGTTCAGTAGCTGTATTTTTTTTCCAGTTCATAATACAGAAAGAAGTTCTGAAGGACATGCAGCACTTAGTGAATACATCTATATACAGTCAGCCAGAATTCAGATAAAAATAATACAGCCATCAAAGTAATTATTCTGGCCTGCCAGATACATTGAACAGACTGAAGATGTTTTCTTTTTTTCTTTAAAAAAAAAAAAGAAAATGTTAAGACTTTATTGAAGATGTGTATGGAGCAGTGTAACAGAACCAGCAGCACCTCAGCCTTTGGGATGCTGTTGTCAGGGCCGTGGCTGTGAGGTGTCCAGTGTCCATCCCATCAGGGGTCTGCGCCACCGACGGCAGGAGGAGACCACAGAGTGCACAGGTACCTTCCTTACAGAGTTTGGCTAGAGGCAGGTCCCAGCGTGGTGTTCTCCTGTTCCAGATGTGGGGCTAGACACAGAAAAGGTGCCCGAAAGAAGCGGCAGAAGGGAGACAGTGATCAGTGAGTGCTCAGTCACAAGTATGGGGGGTCACCGCTACAGGGGAACGCTTGGGAGGGCAGGCAGAGGCAGCAGGTTGTTTACACCAGGCTGGGGAGCATCATACCTCAGAGTAGCTCCCAGTCATCAGGAGTCACCAGCCCCACTGTCCTGCACTGGGTTTGCTCTCACAGCACTGAGATGAGCATGGGATTGGTGCCAAGGTGACGGCATACACACGGGTCTGGCTTTTCTGTGTTTGCTGGGGGCCCGGCTCTGTGTTTGCTGGGCTCCTGGTTCAGCGGGTGGTGGGGTCTGGCACTGTGCTGACACTGGCCCCTGCCACAAGGGAGAAGGCACCGAGGCCTGCACTGAGCTGCTCTAAGCTTTTTCTCCTTATAATTGAGGTGAATTTGTGGTAAGCAGGTGAGCTAATTCACAGGCCCATGTACCACGGACCAGAGAGGTTGTGGAATCTCCTCTGGAGAGATTCCAAACCCACCTGGACAGGATCCCGGGCAACCTGCTCTGGGTGACCCTGCTGGAGCAGGGAGGTTGGAAGAGATGAACTCCAGAGGTCCCCTCTGAGCCCTAACATCCTGTGATCTTCAGCTGCAACTCCCTTCCCCTCAGCCTCAATTTTACTTGCTCAAAATAAGGCAAGGTTCAGTAGAGCCTCGTGCTGGGTAGAGGCTTTCTGGGGCTGACCTCTTCCTTTCAGGGTAACACTCTCCAGGCCACCTCTGAGAAATCAGGAGGTGCCTGCCCTACAGGACTGCTGCCTGAAAGGCTCCAAAAATCATGTTTTTCTTACTTAAGCCAGATCCACTGCTATTTTAAACCATCAGCTGAAAAACTCCTTTCTTTTGGGAGGGGCGATCTGCACCCGCAGAGCCCAAGCTGGAAGGAAGGCAGCTGAAAGTTGCTCCCCTTCCAGACAAGCCTCAGAAGCCACCACCCGCAGGCGTCCTCCGCAAAGCCCTGCTCGCTCAGCGTTGCCAGGAGGGGTCAGCACCAGCGCAGCGCGCCCGGGCGCCGAATCCGCTCGGCCCTCGGCAGAGGCTCGAGAGAAACGCTGCAACAGCGGAATTCAGGTCTGCTGTGTGGTCCGAAGGAACTCAAACGGCCAAAGAGTGAAAAGCCAGACTCGGGGCAACGCCTACAAACAACCTGCGCGGGGAAGCCGAGGCACTGAAAGCCAGTGACTGCTCTGCCCTGGACACAGAACTCTGCAGCACGAGGTGGCCACGGTTAGGCACTCCCAGTTCTTGTCCATCTCCACACAAATCTACAGCTCAGCTGATAAATTAATACATTTTTGCCAGAGATAGGAAAAGGTTTATTTTTCTCATTTATACAGTGAATGTTTGGAGAGATATAAGGCAACTCCCTCGTCAGCAATTCACCTCAGCACTTAAAGGCTAAAGTCACGTTGACAGTCAAACAGCAGATCAGACGCACGTTTAATAATTTTAGTGAGAATCAATGTTAATACAGCATGTCTGAGGACAGAATTTGTCAGATGTTATGTAGCTCTATGTTGCTGGGCGATTTTGGCATAACTGAGTGCAAATTTGTCAGCTTTTTACCTTATAGCAGCCCATTGCATCACAGGGGAACACAGCTTGCTTGCAACAGGAGTTTATTTTCTGCTAACACTGCAGGCAGTTTTTCTATTTCTTTTAATGTCTGCCAAAAGAAATCAAATAAACTCTAAGCTGCTTAAAAATAAACCACATGAGCTCAGCTCCTCCAAGCTTTTGCTGAGCATATTCCCAAGGACTGACTCTTCTGTGAATGCTATTCAGACAGGTTGGTTGGTTTTTCCAATTTACTTTCCAAAGACATTTCTTTCCTTCTTACCCATTGCAAAATAGGATTGAATTAGCACATGTAAAGGAAATAAAATACTGAGATAATGAGGCCAAATATTGTGGCAGCCACAGGAACTACGTGCTTGCTTTTTCCACTTCCTAGCCAGGTCAGATCAACATTTGTGCGTGCGTGTAACTGCTTTCTCTGCTCCCCACACTGGTAGGGAGCTCTGGGGGACACCTCAGGGATCCATTGGACAGGACAGCTGGGATATCGACCCGTGCCTGGCACAGAAGAGGTTTCAAAGGCCACTCAGATCTATCTCTGAGCCCGATACACTCCAGCAGGCTGCTGGCATCCTGGACTGCTGCACCTGAACTAGACTAAGAGCCGGGCACTGATCCATTGGCGATGGCACGTTCCACGTAACGCTACATCTTCTTCTAGTCTATGTGACAGGTCCAAGAGCAAACACAAAGGGCCACAGGGTTAACTTAGGTGTGAAACTCACATGCTCAACACTCACAAGAGACACCAACTTGAAGCACAAATACACAATCCCTACCACGTCTTCCTCTTCTTTTATATTTCTCATTTATATATGGATACAGAAACACCACCCCGCCCGGTTCTTGTGGTTCTAACCAAACTCCACGCTACAGAAACTCCAGGTTTCAAAAAGCAGCTCAGACCCAGCGCCCTGCTCTGCTCGTGCAAGTAAAACAGCAGCACCTCACCAGGAAAGCAGAGCACTGGGACTGACACTGTCACGGGTGGGGGGAGAAGCTGCGTTTGCCCCTGGGAGTGCGTCACTGAAGCGATTCTAACTTCTGTTGCTGCAGCCAGCACAAGCCAGGCTTGCTCACACGGCAGGAGAACACTCGCCACAAGAGACACCATCTAGTTCTAGCCACCATCATTTTCCACACAATACTCTCCTGGCTCAGGCTGATGAAAATTAAGACTCCACCTTCATTACATCGTTGAAACCATTTGTTTTCTCTTGCATGTCTCTTCCTTGTCCTCTGTAAGTGGTTCTGTCTCTATGGTGTTTAGCACAATGATTTTCTCAGAACACGGGATTTAGTTGCAGAGAGCTGCAGCTCAGCTTTCACTAATGAGACGGGGACATTTTGTACAGTCAAAGCGCTTTGACATCGGTTACATTGTTCACAGTCTTGAGGAGGAAGGGAGGAAAGAGAGATCCATGGCTTCCGCAAATCCACGTCAATAACGATAAAGCCATAAATAAATACACTGTCAATGTATCACCATGAGTAACTGATTCCTTTTGTCCCCGCTGTGGATTCGCAGAGCTAGAGCCGTGCAGCCCCAGCCGGGAGTGGTGAGTGCACAGCCCCACAGGGCCTCTGCACACGAAGCGAGGGCGCTGAGCCCACGGGTGTCTGCCAGCCTGTCCCACCCACGCCACCAGGAACGCCACACGGCACGTGTGTGACAGGGGGAGACCGGGAGAGGAGAGAGAAAGGCCATGTCTGCAACGCTGTACATCAAAGCACATCCATCCCACTGCTGTTCCCTACGTTATGAACAAGGAGCTCTTTAAGGCAGAAGAGAGACATTCTGTGGATCTTGGTGCTATTGGCTCATTGCACTCACATTGTTTCAGTGGCAGAGGACGAGGTACTTTTCTTCCTGAAGCGAGGTCTAAGGGTCCTAGGCGGTGCCTGCAGAAAAACAAGAGAAAACTGCAGTGGCATGACAGGAACTGTTTTTTCTCTCCTTAGAACTCACCCATT